AAATGCAGATTTATTTTCCAGTTTAGGTATGGCCTCAAAGACATTGTGAGTAGGAGCATCACAATAAGGGCTTCAAATATGTACTTAATGAATAAAAGATGATTTGATATTTTCATTTTGATGCCTAATTTATGTAAAAGAATTCCAAAGACATTTTAAACTATGCTTGGTAGTGACTACTCCTAATAGTTTGAGTCCATTTTTGGATATTGTAATTCAGATGTCTGAGAAAGCTCCAGTAGCTTTAAAAACTTTGTTATAAATTAGTTTGGAAATTTAATATATTATTGTGTGATCTGCATATTGCTTGTATATAAAATATATTTTATTACCTTTGTTTAATCAGTGTGAAAATATATTTAAAATAGAGTATGACAGCAGGTAGTTTTGTAAACTCTTCAGTGTTGTGTTGATGGCTGTATAACATACTGTGACAGTTCAGAATGAAACCCATAGTGTCTTGTGCAGCCAGCTGCAACAAATAAACATGTTTTACTGCCCTAGTATGGTATTATGTTTACAGCACAGCAGACAGGCTGTCATCAGAGATGAAGACTTTTTGGTGAAATGATGTAACTGCTAATGTGGTGAGAATTATCTTGGTAGTTTTATTTCTCATAAAATTGTGTCCTTTTGTCTGATTGCTTGATACAGATTTCTGACTGTATTTTACATCTAAATTAGTTGCAAAACAATGGCTGAAGTAGGGGCTGACAGGTTGTGTTGGTTTTTTTTTTAAAGCTGCCTTTTTTCCATCCTCCAAATGAACCAACAAGAACTGTAATCAGGACCTTGCCCCTGCCCACAACTCCTTGAAAATCGCATAGCGGTGAATTTCAGTGATGTGATTGCTCTTCTTTGCTGACAGGTTTGGATGCACACCAAGGCTTTTGGGGAGGTTGTTATTGTTCCTGCCTACTGAGCGCACGGGCTGAGTTGTACTGCTGGTGTTGGTGTCGTTCCTGTGCTACTGGCTGAAGATCAGCCTCTGCTGTAGCTGGTGTGAAGTTGCGAGTGCCTGGAGCTTCTTCGATGCCAGCTGGCACTTGCGGATGCTTTGCACTTTTACGGGGCAGCACATACATTGAGTCATAAGCAGGAGGCTGTGGAGGTCTGGTGCGCGTGTCATGTTCTTGTCGTGATTCCCCAGTGGTTATGGAGCAGGTGAGGAAGTTGACTGATGAGTGTGAGTTAGTGGTTGATAATCTGTTGTCACTAAACTAAACATTGATCATTATTATGCAGGGCAGTCTGGTGTTGCAAACACATCTTTCATCCTGCTGGATGTTCCTGCCCAGAAGCTCACTTCTGGTGACAAGGGATACGACTTTTTTCCCAGCACTTTCCTTTGCTAGTGAAGAGCTACCAAGCACTTGCTGGGTTATGTGCTGTAAAATGTACTTTTTGTAATCAACCTATTGCTGAATTGCTTTTTCGAGTTATCTTGATTTGCTCTTCCACGGGCCTCTTCATTCAAGAGGAGCTTGTTGAGTGTTCGCCTGTTCTCTTTCTGAGACGTGTCTTTATGCCACGCCAGTTTGACAGCATTACTGACTGTCATGGATGTGAATCCAGTGTGTCACAGCACTCTGACTTCCAGGTCATTCAGAGTAGTAATTCACTTTGAACTTTCTTCAAAATAAGGTGCCAAAGGTGCCCCCCAAGCAATTTGTCTGGTTGGCAGGAGGGTGTTGCACAGGTAATCTGTGTGTAACATCTGTGTAGGAGCGAGGTAAGGCATCGTGCCTGTATGTTTTTACAGTAATGCTGAGCTAGCTCTTGTGTTGATGCCCTGCGTGCATTGTAAGCTTAGCAGAAGTCAGTAACATGGGAAGGAGTTAATGGTGGTGAGATGGTTCAAGGCACAGGGCGGGCGAGTGGGTGAGCTGTAGCCTGGCTCTCACAGGGGTTACAGAGGGAATTTTCTTGCGTGTAATTTATGTCCAGCAAGAAATAGTAGTAATTGGCTGTTAGCTATTTATGCTGAAGTAGTACAGCCAAGGGGACCTAAATGGCTAAAAGCTTCTTGAATGAAGTGAGAGACCTTTTGTGAAGAGCTTGTTCTTATGAACTGAAATAGTGTTCATGTAGTTGCAGTATTGGTGAAGGTTATGTTTCCTAGGTGAGAGGAATTGGTCCTTTTCTTTCAGTTGCTGTTCATGGGAAGTGAAAAGAGAGTCATGTTCCATGATATGGTCATTAAACGTTTCTGTAGAAGTCATGAGGCCATGCATTGGCCACAGTTTGGAGATGTATCTGTCTAGACTTTCCCCTCACTGTTTTTTGTGTGGGCAAAAATACATATCTAGGTAGAGAAAACTCAACTTAGGCAGACAGAGCAGAAATAAAAGTTCTGCTTCCTGATTTTGCCTGTGTAGGCAAGTCCTGTTTTCTAGCAAATGGAATGATTCTCTCAGCGACAGGACTCTGCTCACTTCTTTTGTCTCTGGGAAGTCCTTTCTGTCCCCTGTGCCTTTTAGCTAGTCACTCTGTGATGTCCCTGTTGTCTCCAAATCACCTGCAGGCTTCAGTATCATTGTGGTGACTCTCTTGCCTGCCAGATCTTAACTCTGCTATAGAAGTGAACTCTTGCCTTCTTCCAAGGAATCCACCTCCTCTCATTGCTGTACGGGAATGTATTGCCGCGTGCTGCCGGCAGAAAGAAAACAAGTGCAGCCTGTGAGTTCCTGATGGTGAGCAGGGACTAGGCAGTCCACCAGTCTGGTATGGGAGGAAGAATTTTATTTAGCAAGTGAACATTTTTCTGGTACAGTTTTTGTAGCAGGACCATCTGGCTTTTATTAAAAGTTGCTGAGGAGTGTAGTTTTGATGGACTTCTCACTCCTGAGCACCACTGCTATAAAGCAAAGTAACCAAATTTATCTTAAGTATTTTACTATAAACAGAGCGGAAGTGAGAGCTAATGCTTTTTCTGTGTGCATTAGCAGGCCGTGGAGGGTTAAGAATGTTTTCCGTTGCTTTTTGACCATGAGAAGGTAAACTGTCTGCTTGTAGTCATCTTCACCTCTCTTTGTGTTAGAAATGTGTTTATTGCTTCTGTGGTATATTTGCCTGATGCTTTCTTCCAAGGAGGTAACTGTTGTTGAGGAGATTCTAGTCATCATCTTTTCCTTGCTCCTGCAGTTTCCTGCACGTAACACAACAGAAAACGCTCTTCACGTCTACTGTTCCACCAACCAAAATAGATCCCGCAGACCGTAAAGGACAGGCGCGTCCGTAGTAGACTTGTAGCACGCACTAGCTTTCAGGACTACGCTTGTGACATGCCAAGCACCCAGGGCTCTCACTGGCACCACTCAGAACCAAGGCAGCGCCTGTACTTTGTGCGTCAGTTTTGAAAAGCAGGAGGGAAACCGTGAGGTAGCCACTGGGACTTCTCATGAAATTTTGAAGGTAGAAGCAGCCTGCTCTGGGTGTGCTGCGGGCAAAGGAGCTGCTAAGGACATAGAGTGACTTTTCTTACGTGTTCAGTTTGAACCAGTTAACTTGTTCTTCATATCAACTTCAGGGAAATATGAGGATGTGTGGGAAGCTAGCTGTTGAAGGCAGCAGGGGAGATTAGCACCTCTCACTGATTTAAGAAGCTGTTGGTATAATGCGAAGTTTTCCTGTTCAGTGCATGAAAACTGTAGTATTCAGTAGAGCCAGCGTGCTTAGGTCTCCTTTCCTCAGCTAGACAGTGGTGCTTCTGAAGTCTCAAGTTTGCCAAGTTCAGTCCCTGAGCTGTGGTTCAGGCTTAGGTGCCTGTGTGAGATTGATATTCCTAAATTCTCCTTTCGATGTAGTAAACCAGCTGAATTCCCTGAAATGATTTGAGAAGTAAGCAGTGGCATTAGTAACCTTAACTTTGCTCTATTTTGTAGAAAAGCTCAGTGGTTCCCTCCTCTCCTTGAAGGAGTTTATAGCTGCATCTCTCACCTTCTGCTTGGGGAGCAGTGCTTCGTCTGTCCCGTGCATGCAGGAGGAGATGTGGGGCTCTTGAGGCCGGAGAGCACGCACAAAGGTGGGGATGACTGCCGCTGTTAGGTGAGCCCTGCTCCAGGAGAAAGGGCATGCTGACTTACCTAGCCCGGGGCAAAATACTTGGACAACCGTGAGGAGTTGTTCTCAGATCCATGTTCTGACCATGTTGTTCAGGTTTGGCTTCTCAAGAAAATCAGAGACCAGAGCTGCTTCTGGTAGGTCCCTAGCGTGCTGGAGCGCACAATGGCATCAGGTGACAGAAATCTGGACCTGTTGAGGTGGTGGCAGTTCTAGATGGGTTCAGTCTTGGGGATTTGCTTGCCATAGGAGCAGTCCTGATGAAAGTGTAGTGGCTTTATGTCTGTCAAGTGCCTGGCAGGTTAGGTACCCAAGCGCTTTGATGATCTGGGGTTTACAACTGAAGTGCAGTGAGTTTTGTTGTCATTTGACAGTTCAGGACACAGGCATAGTGTTCATGGTGTGACTTTATCTGAATGAGTGAGAACCAGATTCTTGTAAATTTAGCCTGAAGATAGATCTCCTCTCCTATGTGTCAGTGTATCAGTACCATTGTATCCTGTGTGGGGCTTCAGATTATTCTTCACTGGCTGTGTACCTGAGCATGGCTTCGTGGTTTCCTACAGACTGCTGGATGTTACCAGTGAGCCCTGAAAGAGTCACTGATTTTAGCAGCATAAACCCTCCCTGTTGTTTCTGTGGTACGTTGTGCAGTGGTAGGACTTGAGCCAGCAGTGGCATCACTGGGTGGAAAAGAAGGTGTTCCAGGCATTAATTATGCATACTGGAAGAGAAGATTATTGTCACCAACTCCCTAAATACTTGGGCAGCAAACCAATTCTAAGCATGTAGAAATAGAGTTTTGGGGACAGTATGCTGTTCAGACAAATGAATGCATGAAAGATGTTACTGCTGATCAATCCTCTACTTTAAATTATGAATGATCTTGCAGTTTTTTTAAATGCATAATAAATAACTTCATCTTTTCTTTTTAGTTGATGTCCATCAGCGTATTAGGTGTTTCTGCTTGGATGAGAGACTACCTGAATAATGTTCTCACTTTAACTGCAGAAACAAGGTAAAGCTTTCCTTAAACCTGTTAATCTGTGTGGGTGATTGATTGCGGTATATGTCGTTCATTCTGTATGGCAAGTTTCCTGATTAGGATTTCTAGAATTAGGAAGCCTTCAGTTGAGCTAATTACTGCTTTGTTGAAAGGTATATTTTTGACACCATTTCTGGCATCAGTTGAAATTAGAGAAGGGGGAAAGATATGAATTCAGTCTTGTTTTATTCCTCTGCCTTTCTCTACTGACAGGGATCAATTTTTGGCCCTTGGCCAATATGTAACCATATTATATTACTGTTTCATTTTGAATACTTTATTCATTCCAGAGATTTAGGAATGCTGTTAGTTTTGTTACAGCAGTGCTTATGAGCCCTAGTGATGGAACAGGCCCTTGTGCTACATACTGTGCAAGTGCAGGAGAGGAAGATCCCTTCCCCTCCAAAGAGATTTCGGATAATGCATTGCTTTCTGGTACCTGAATGCAGCATTTCACTTTAAAACCACGTAGAAGAGATTTCTGTGAAACGTGTAAGGTGCTGGAAAGAACGCATCTGATAATTGACCGTTTTTATTTTAATGGCTGTATTGCATTTTTCTTCTGTATCGTTTTTGTGTGATTATGCTTTTTTGATTATGGTTCTGATGGGTTTTAGGGTGGAGGAGGCTGTCATTTTGACTTATTTTCCTGTGGTCCACCCGGTCATGATTGCAGTCTGCTGTTTCCTCATCATAGTTGGAATGCTGGGCTACTGTGGAACAGTGAAAAGAAATCTGTTGCTCCTTGTCTGGGTATGTTTCATAACCTCCAAAACCAGCTAACTTCTGCTTGGCTTCAGCAGTGTAAGAAAAGTTTTAATCCACAGGCACTAGATAAATACTGATTATTTTTTATTACCATGTTGAGTTATGATATCGGTGAGGAAATGTAATTGCAAAGCACACAGTAGGAAAGAATTTATTGCCTAGACTGCATTATGCTGTGACTGAAAGACAAGCAGTGTCTCATTTGCAAAATTCCACTTCATTTAGTAGAGGAATTGCTGAAGGGAAAAATAACTCAAACTCTTAAGTACTAATAATTATGGGAAAGTGAGTCTGAGTGCTCTGAAATAAACCCTTATGCTACCCTTTTGACTCTTGCCTGTGCAATAGCTAAATAACGTAGACTTTGCTTTATCCCCGCAGTTGATTGTGTATGTAAAGAAACAGCATTTGTAGCTGATAAAAGTTAATTCTAAATGTGTTCAGAAGCTTTGCCTTCTCTTACGTGGATGTGGAATTTTGCAGTTGCATTTGGTTGTGAGCAAGTTTAAAAATAAATTCCAAGTACCCAGCTTTTTCCTTTGTTTGGAGGCTACATAACTGAGCCAACAGCAGCTGAAAAGCAATAGTCTCTCCTGCGCAAGGCTCTAAGTACAATTTGACTGTGATGAGGTTTCGACTGTCAAGGGAGCCAAATGCCTTTTTCTTCCTTTGGAAGTCAATGAGTCTGAGGACAGTTTAAAAACAAAACCCCAAGAACCCCCAAAAAACCAAACTTCACAAAACAAAAAAATGAAAAAAAAAAAACCAAAACCAAACAAACGAAACAACAAAAAAACAAAACCAACAAAATCAAGAAGCCCATCAGACTTGCACAAATTTTTAAAGGTTTAGAGTTTAAAAATATTTAGACCATTGGCAACACTGAGATCAAGGAGTGCTGTGTACCTGTATGCTTTTTAAAGGTCAAGCTTGTAACTCTTTGCAGAGTTGCGCCTTGTCTTTTCACATGAGGATAAGCAGGATTCCAAGCAGTCTGTAAGCCCAAGGGGATGGGAGCAATGGATGTGAAAGAGGTGTATCAGACTTGACTACTGTAATTGCAGTAGGAGAAAGTGGACAGGTAAAATTCTTCAGCTCTTGAGAATATCCAGGAGTCTTGCACAAGTAGAGTTGGGCTTCTGCTGTTTTTTCACTGCAGTGTGTGTTGGGTTCTCCCAAAGTGCATACGGTTGTGTTTCTCTTGTGGATCTTTGTGGACTTAAGTACATGGTGCCTGGACCTCACAAATTTTGCACAAAATGACAAAAAAAAAAAGTTGACTGAGATTTATGCAGCCTTTGCTTTTATCTAGCAGGAAATATTCTAACTGCAGCTAAAACAGTTAGGAAACTGTACTGGGGGTTTTGTGTTAAAATGTCTTTTTTTATTTGAGAGAGTTGGAGTAAGCTTTATTTGAGACTTCCAGCTGAAGGTCTGCAGCAGAATTGTTCCTCAATTGCAAGAAGGCAAATGCTGTTTCTCCTTTTGGGTATTTGTTAAGTGTGTATACAATATGAAGATTGTTGTTTCAAAGCTATGTAGTTAAGAAAAATGCTTATTTAAATCTGAATACTTTATAGTAATGTAATAGTCATGCATTTTTTGTTTCTAGATCTTAACCTTGCAAAGTTAAAGTCAATGGGAACAAGTTCTAAGACAGATATTACTTAGTTACGAGTAACGAATAATCCAAAATAATGGATTAATGTAATTTCATACCATATAATTATTTATCTATAAGCTTTCTGACATACCTTAAAAGGGCTTTGTACATATTTTTGTTTTACATAAATATTGAAAGTATTAAAAGATGGTAAAATTATTAACCCTTAGTTTTTATGATAAGATTATAAGATTATTTTCATAAAGTGTTTTTTATTTTATAGTGGTGATAGTTTTTAATGTGAATTAAAATTAATTAAATATATGATGTAGACCAATGCTACATAGTTTCTGGGGGGAAAAAAAGTTATGGTTTTTGGTATAAGCCTTGAAAAAAAAACCCTAACTAAAATTAAAATGAAAATTCAGTTGAAACTGGTTTTGGCCTTCAGTTTATTTAAACTGCCAGTGAAAAGAAGAAATCATTTATAGCTTTTAATGCCATCTGGAAATAAATTATTTAAAGTGTGTTTAGGCAGTCAAATTATACTAAATCAAAACAAGACATTTCTATCATTTTATGTTGCAATATTTCATTTTCAGGAGCCTGAGAATTTGCTCTTGCTAAGCAAACTGATAAGCAAAACTAAATGATATCTTCCTAGGTATGTCATTGTCTTTGATTAATTGTTAGATGAATGTAATCGTGTTATATCACAGAAGTATGCAGACATAAGTCAATGCCTCATTCATCAGACTAATCTGAAAAGTGATGGATCAACAAAATGAGCTTTTGTACAACCAGATGAACTAAAAGAAAAGAACCTTCATGTGAAACATTAACAACCTCTTCAATCATGCTTTTAATCTTCTTTTTGAAGTACATGAACAGCCGTAATGATGGCATGCAGAGATATTTGGATACAAATCTTGATGTTCCTGGCAGCATGCTAATTGCTAGTGCTAATGTTGTTAATTGAATTGGATTTTTGGAAAATCTAATAAAGCATAAGGACCATGAAATATATATATTACAGTCTTAGATATTTTTAATACATCTGAATACATAATTATTTTCATTTGGTTTTGACAGTTTATTTTGCAATTAAATGCTTGAAACCTTCCCAGCTTCATATGGGGCATAAATATAAATAGAACTAATGTTTACTCAGCTTAATAGTAGGAAAATATAACACCTCAGTCTTCTGAGGTGCATGCTCTGGATTATTTGTAGAACTAGCATTTTAAATTTTAATTGCTTCAGGAATACATAGTCCTGAAGGCTAGTTGATATAAAGAGCCCATGTGTGCCTTAAACGTCTGTAATATAGTTTTGTTGAGTGTCATGAATGACCAACATCCTCATGTAGAAGTGGCTGTGATGCCAACCTAAACTGGAAGATCTGGACTCTTCCAAGTTACTGATTTGAATGTATAAAAAGTCCAAGGAGGAGAAACTAGAGTCCAAGTTTTATCGTGCTTGTTACAGTTTTTCAAACAAGATTCTTTAAATTATTTTTTCAAATCCAGAACCATCCTTTGTCTCTTCTCTTCTGAGGCTCTGTACATTTTGGATTGTTTATAAAGTCTGTTGTGCATGTAGCCTAACTAAAAAAAAACACCAACAAACAAAACCAAAACCAAACAAAAAAAACAAAACAACAAAAGCCCACAACCCCCATGCTTGTATTTGTTAAGAATAGTAACCTTAAAAGTGTGTTAATTTTGTTTTTAAATTCTTGTTTTATTAAAACAACAAGAGTGAACTCTGTTGCTTGACAAGAAGAGCTTCACAGATATCCCACTGGAAAATATTTTCCTGGCTGGAGTTTTCATTGCAAATTCTGGCATTTATAACTATGAGTTTTCTGTAATTACAGCATTCAAACAGCACAGGATTCAAATTTGTCTGCATATGTTTTCACAAAGGGAAAAACTGTTAGAAGTATTTGATGGTCAATAGGGCAAATCCTTTTACTAATTTTTCTCATAAAATTGGCGGAGGAATAAGTATTGCTCAGAGCTAAATGTTGTTAGACCCTGTTGGTGTGTGGTCAACAGCTTATTAACTCATGGTGGAACCTGGTTATAAATTGGAACTTGGCAGACTAAATTGTCCATTAATTGAGTTGAAGCACAATCAGAGAAACCGTCATTAAACTAAACTGAACTTTTCTTTAAAAGCAGGCAGACATTTCATAAAGAGAAAAAAATGAAGTGATACCATGCTTTAGTTGAAAAGGTAAACTGGAGACGCGGGACAAACCAAAGGTGTATGTGGCTGTTTCATGTCAGTAGTTCTCAGCCAGCTAAATGCCGTATTGGTGACAGTGATTTCTCTGAAGTCCATCTGAAGGATGGCAGGGAACCACTGACTGTATTACCACATGGGGCAGATTCTTCTATACCCATACCCCCATTTCGGTCCATGTGGATGCAGAGATGATAGGGATGGTTAAATGTGGACATCTGCTGTGTTGCAAGATACCAATAACTGCTGACATCTTCCTAGAAGGTGCTCTTACTCCGTGTGAAAAGTTAGCTGCTCTAGAATACCACAGCACCAACTGTTCTGTAGTACTTGTGGCTACAGTTGGCATGAATTAGTATGAGTTTAATGATAATTAACTTTTTTGTCTTTGTGGCAGCATGTATTTCTGCTATGATACGTAATATAGGCTATTTGTTCTGTAATAATGAAGGACATTTGTTCTGACCCATGTGGGCTCTTACCACAATCACAACTGCTCTGATACCTTGTACTAACATGTGGCGCTGGACTTGTTATTTACCAACCAGAAGTATTTCTTCATTATTTAACTACCAAGCGTTGAAAGGGAAGAAATAACTGACAAGCATACTTGGTGTAAACCTGTGCAGTTTAGAATTAGGACAGAGACGGAGTTAATTTTCATATTTTGTGCCTTTTTATCAGCAGCTCATTTATGCATATCGTGTGAGCATGAGTTAAACGGACATTTACTAGACAGGTTGGCCTGCCTTGTTGAAAGACTGGTTTTATAATACTGTAGTACAGGTTTGATGAGAATCCAGTACTATGCTAAAACTCAAATTCAGATTGTCAGTGGGTACATAAGGGGCTGGACATTTAGCTTGCATTTTGAAGTGCTGCTTGTTTGACATTCCACTTGTAAGAAAATACACTTCAAGTTCACCAATTTTTGTTACACCCCCGTAGTTTCAGATATGAGCAACTTTCTCAAGAAAATGAGTACAGAGCTATTTTTTTTCCTTTCCATATTTTTAACTGTCAATTCAAAGGTGAACTGCTTGAGGAGATGTCTGTACTAATCATTATTAGACATCTTTTTCCTTTGAAATGGGGTAAAGAGTAAACTGCTTTCCCATTCAGATCAGGACTT